ACTGGTGTTATATAGGTTCTCATAAGCCATTTATATTGCAGAAGTTTAAACCGTGTGTTGATTGTTTGATTTTGTGCTTTTAAACAGGCCTGATTCCAGTCTTCCTCATCTATATCTTCGAGAGTCTCTCTTCTCCAAGCATCTAACTTATCCATTGCTGAATCCTTAGAGGAAAGCATCAACAAATTATAGAAGACAGAAAGAAAACCTTTCCCTTTTAAGTCCCCAACGCACACCTCTTCTATTTTTGTTAAGGGTGGAATGTCAACTATTTGTTTCAGTTTTGATGACATATAATTTTTCAACTGCAAGTATTTAAAAAAATGTTTTGGGGGTATTAAATACTTATTACATAACTGATCAAAAGTAAGCAACATGCCATCGGCATATAGATCTTTAATTTTCTGAATGCCTTTGGTTTTCCATAGTTTAAATCCTCCATCATTTTTTCCTGGGGTAAACCTTTCATTACCCCAAATAGGGGTAAATTATGATAGCTCTGGACAGTCACCCATATGTTTATGTGCTGCATGCCAAGTTATAATTGTATTTTTTAAGAAAGGGTTCTTTGTGGTTTTTTTTAGTGTCTTTATATCCGAAGAATATAGGAAGGTGTTTAAGGGGAGATCTGGGACAGATTGCTGTTCAATGTCCACCCAAGCTGGAGGTGCTATTGGACAAAAGTAATGAGTAGCTGATGTTAGTTGGGCGGCCATATAATACCATCTGAGATTAGGGACTTTAAGTCCACCTCTTTCATAAGGCAAATAAAGTAACTTTAAACGGAGTCTTGCTTTCCTATTACTCCAAATAAATTGATTAAATAGTTTGTCCAGACTATCATAAAATGAGTCTGTCAGTGGCAAAGGAAGTGTTTGAAAATAATATAAAAATTTGGGCAAGATTGTCATTTTTAATAAATTTATTCGGCCTATCATAGATATAGGTAAATTTGACCATCGATTTAGCATTCCTGTGACTTTTTCCACAAGGGGATTATAATTTGCTGTGCTTATTTCACTGAGGGATGGGGTGATCTTAATGCCTAAATATGTAAAAGATTTTGTAGTTGTTTTAAATGGGGTAGCCACAATAGGACTTCTCCTTTCTTCTTCATTAAGAAACATTAATTCTGATTTGGAATTATTAATTTTATATCCTGAAAATTCACCGAACTCTTTTATTAAATTTAACAAATTGGGAATACTGATCTTCAAATTACTTAAGAAAAATATGATGTCATCCGCAAACAAAGAAATGAGATGATCTCTTTCTCCAATTCTAACCCCCGATATTCCTTTATTTGCTCTAACAGCCATCGCCAGAGGTTCTATTGCCAATACAAAAAGCAGTGGTGACAGGGGGCAACCCTGTCTAGTTGACCTTTGTAAATTAAAAGGCCTTGACATGTTATTATTGGTTAAAACTTGTGCTGTCGGGTCAGTATATAGTAGTCGTATCCATTTTAGAAAGGATTCACCTAGTCCATATCTGGGGAGAACTTCAAACAAGTAATTCCACTCTATTCTATCAAACGCTTGACGTGCGTCCAATGATAACATCGCCGTGTCCTTACAATTATGTTTTTCATGTAATACATTAAGAACCCGTCTTATATTATGGTATCCTTGTCTTGTTTTGATAAATCCTTGTTGATCATCTATTATTAAATTGGGCAGGTATTTATCTAATCTCCTAGAGAGAGCTTTACACAAAATCTTTGTATCACATCCCATGAGACTGATTCCTCTATATGAGGAGCATTCAGTTGGGGGTTTGTTTGGTTTTAGCAAAAGAGTTATCGTAGCCAATCTCAGTGAGTCTGGGAGTATTCCAGCTTTATATGATTCTTCATACATGTTGAGAAGTGGTGGGATTAATTTATGTTTAAATGCTTTATAAAATTCTATTGGAAGTCCATCAGGACCTGGCGTTTTACCGCTATTCATGCTGTCTATTGCTTCAGATAGATCTTTTATTGTTAAAGGACTATCAAGAGTTTTTTTCTCTTCCTCTAAAAGGGTTTTGAATTTTAATTGGCTAAGAAATATAGTTTGTGACTCGTTGTTTCCAGAATATTCAGACTTATACAAGGTTTTGTAGAATTCTCTAAAATTATCATTTATTTCTGAAGGGTCTGTGGTTAAAATGTTTGATTTTGATTTTATGCTATTAATTGCTCTTTCCGCTTGCATCCGTTTTATTCTCCAAGCCAATAATTTCCCGGCCTTTTCTCCTTGATCATAAAATGCTTGTTTAGTCCACATTAAGTTTTTTGCCACTTTGTCTGTCGTTAATTTATCATATCTGGTTCTTAAAACAGTAAGTTTGTGTAATTCTATGGGGTCATTGTTCTGGTAAAGTTCTGTTTCGCTGGATTTAATTTGTCCCTCTAATAATTTTAATTCTTGGTTAAATTGTTTATTTTTATTGCTGCTATAGCTGATAATTTCTCCTCTAATATAGGCCTTAAAAGCTTCCCATCTAATACTAGCTGTGGTTTCATCTTTATTCATTTCAAAATATTTGTCAATGCAAGTTTCTATAAATGTAACAAATTTTGAGTCTTTTAGCAAAAGTGTCTGCATCCTCCATCGTTTCACCCCTTGATCAATCTTATTTACTTTAATTTCCAGGGACACTACAGCATGATCACTAATTACAATGCTATTATACCAACAATTCTCCACATAAGGCAATAGCTCCACAGAGATTAGAAAATAATCAATACGCGAATGGGATTGGTGTGTGCTTGAATAACATGAAAATTCCTTCTTATTTGGGTTCCTCGTTCTCCATACTTCATCTATTCTTAAATCTTTTATATAGTTAATAAGTATTTTTCTGGTTTGTGTATGACTAGTATCAATTTGAGTAGATTTATCTAGACTTGGGTTTAGGGTACAATTAAAGTCCCCTCCTATAATATAAAGTCCCTCCAGGGTTGACAAGGTTAAAAATAAATGTTCATAAAAAGATGGATTATCATTGTTAGGTCCATAAACATTTATCAGATTTAGTTTAAACGTTGAAATATGTCCCTGTACAATAATATATCTCCCATATGGATCTTTAATTGACCTTGTAGTTTGAAATGGTATTGACTTATGTATAAGAGTAATAACTCCTCTGGCGTGACTAGTAAAGGAGGAGTGATACACCTGACCCTGCCATCTTTTGGTTATCTGATGTATTTCTGACTCAATCAAATGAGACTCTTGCAGGAAGACTATTTTAGATTTCAAATATTTTAGTCGGTCTAATACTTGTTTCAATTTAGTTAGCTTTCTTATTCCTCTGACATTCCAGCTCGCAATCTCTATATTTAAAATATTTCCTTTGGTTGTCTTCTCCATATCAGATTATTTAGTTTACTATTACACTAAAGTAAAATAGGTAAAGATAGTACTGAAAATGCAGGTTTGCACACACATTCACACATTCAACCACACAAAATACAGAACTAGTTATGAACAATCCCCAACTGAACTTTTGCATTTCTTTATCTGAAATGTCCCCCCCTCCCCCCATTGAATCAAGTATCTGGAGGACGTTGATCCACACCACTGAGGAGCAACTAGTCAACGTGACCAAAACTCCACATAGAGTACAGTGTCTACTAACCATAAAATAAAATAACCCTTGATAGAACGGTGATAACTTATTAAAGGCTTAGCTTTTAGCATGAATTCTAAAACATTTCAAATTAAGTTTAGAATACCTGAACACATACAAGCAATCTGTTATGCTGACATGAACTGTCCATTAACTTAGAACTTATCCTGCTCATTTTTCCGTTACTGATTAGCTCTGTTGGAACAGGAATATCCACATGAAATCTGTTTACCTGTTTCTCAACCAGTATGTCTGTCACTGATCAAAAGCATCCGCTATGCTTTATTTTTGAAGAGCTTTGTAAAATTCTTCAGCTTCTTGAGGCGTTGAGAAGAGATGGATCTTTCCACCGTGGAGGATCCGAAGTTTGCAGGGATTGTGTTGGAATCCACGGAATGCGCCGATGTCGACAAACAGCTTCACCACCGGGTGAAACCCGCGTCTGATCCGTACCGTCTCCGCAGATAGATCCTGTGCAAACGTGATTTTAGCCCCATCTTGTTTAATATCTTTTTTCCTTGCCTCCCGGTACACAAATTCCTTCTCTGGGAGCTTCAGGAAGCGAATCAGAACCGCTCTGCCCTGATTTGGTTTTCCAGAGGCTGGTGTGCGGTGAACCCGCTCCAGTGTGAATGACTTGTCCGGTGCTAGCTCCAGCCATTTCGGTAGCATGTTGCTAACAAAGTCAAAAAGTGATTGTCTTCCCTCTGCTCCTTCTCGAATGCCAAAGACACGCAGATTCTTTCGCCTCCCTCGGTTTTCCAGGTCATCTGTTTTAGCCTCAAGGAGCAGGATTCGTTTCATTGCCGAAGTCAATGACGATTCTGTGTTTTCAAGCGAGCTTTCTACTTCGGCAATGCGGGCCTCGGCCTCCTCCATATGAGCTGCCTGGTTCAGTAGGTCTTGTTTTACCTCAGACACTTTAGCCTCCAGCGCAGACACAGCGTTCGCCATTCCAGACAGTCTTTCGTCGATGCTGTCCAGCTTTGCTCCAAAATCCGACCGGAGTGATTTTAGCTCTTCCAGCACTTCAGCTATGCTAGCCATATTAGCTTCCTCACCGCACGTTGGACTCGTTGTTGTTTTGGTGGCTGCTTTGCGTTTTCTTAAAAAAATTTCGCACTGTTTCACAGACGAAGCTTTAGACATATCAGTGACGTATTTTTCGAGCCTTACTTAATACTTTTACAAGGGTTGTAAAAGAAAATTTCGGACACCGTCCTCGGAGTTATTCACCGAGCTGCCATTCCGGTTCTCGGTCACGCCCCCCCCCCCCTCGGTAGCTTGTTAGTTTTTGGCGTGGTTGTGTGCGCATGCGTGATGACCTATGTGTCAGAAAAGGTCCAGTCTCAAGACTGTCTGCCCTGTCAATTTTGTCAATCAGGTGACAAATTTTATAGTGAGGATGGATGATAAGCTGACGTCTATTCTTTTAATGCCATGCGATCCACCCATACTACCTTTGCGATCGACGTGTTGGGTACCCCTGGTCTAGTCATTAAGTTTGGTGTATTTATTTATTTGAATAGGGCTGCTGAGACTTCCCAGATGACCCCACCTGCATTCCTTCTTATAGGGCTCCTTTAAATGCTCCCATTAGTCAATCATCTGTGTTTTCAATGTTTTCAATGCTTAGTTTAGTTGTTTACGTCATCCTCATGCGTTCTGTTCCTGTGTTCCTCAATGTTTCAGGTAAACTTGGTGCTGAGTCCTGATAACAGCGATATGGAAGCAGAGAAAGCAGACAGACAAGAGTTTGTCGCTCTTCTTAAAAGCATGCTGCTGATCGATGCCGAAGACAGAACAGTTCCCTCAAGTGTCCTAAATCACCCATTCCTCACTATGACTCACCTACTGGACTTCCCCCACAGTAACCAGTAAGGCTATGACATGTTCTTGTTTTCATGGTTTTCTTTTCTTTGGTAAATAGCATTGTGCAGTGGAGTGACCTAAATAAAGTTTGAATTTCGTTAAATTGCAAACTTCTTTCTCGCCCCCATGTTTCCCCTCAGCGTGCAGTCGTCTTTCCGCATCATGGACATGTGCCACAGTCGGCCAAGCAGCACCATTTTTGATGCTCTGAACCAGAACACGATTCATTTAACCCGGCCCCCCTTAGGCCCCACTGTGTCCTCCGGCCTTCCGATGGGCTACAGTAACATCCCAGTCCACGCTCAGGTAAGTTATTGGAGGTGTTTGCTGTTATTCTGCAGGGTGGTGTCCAGATGTTACACAGTGTAGAAATGGAAATGTGTGTGCAGTGACTTAATGCTTTTACATACTACAGGCTCTCACTGTGTATGGTTTAGATTGGTGTTTTGAAGTGTATTTGTTGTCCTGATTGTATTTTTTCTTCATACTTAACCATTTCCCCATCCCCTTCTCCATGTTCTCCACCTTCTGCTTCTGGATTTTCTGCCTGTTGGTAAACATCTCCGCTGCAGTCTATAACCCAGTCGACTCCATCCGTGTTGCATCCTGGAATAGCTCTAGGGAATGCTCAGTTTGGATGCAGCGATACGTTCCCACCTGCTCTTCTTCTTTGTCCTCCCACAATGCAAGGTGTCCAAACTTTTTATTTCAAGTTATTTTAGAGTTTATTTGAAAAATAATGGCTAAGAGTTAGTTTTTTTTTTTGTGTGTGGAGGGAATATTTGACTTGTGCAAAGGTGTGGAAATCATCTGTGCTAAAATACATTAAAACTGATTACAGTCTTTTTGTTTTGGTGGGTAACAGTTGTGTCTCTTTACTATTTTTAAAAGGTAACCTGAACCAACCAGCAGCCTATTCTGTCCCCATTGTAACTCAAGCCCCTCCCATACAGCCTCTACCTGTGAGGCCTGGTGTAATAGCCCAGGTAAGAAACAAACTCATCTGTAAGTTGTAGTTATAGATGAGCACCAGCCTCAAACTCCATGAGCATGTTTACATTCTGAGCAGCATAACTACATAATCACATGATTACAGCTGACTAAGACCACACCCACCCTCTAACCCTTCATTTTCATCTCAGCTCCTCGTGAAGTTTCAAGACTCAGTGTCGCTGTTTCGTGGTTCTTCCTGTTAGTGTGCATCTCCAGGACCTTAGATTGTCATAATGACAAACACATTAACAAACATTTTCAGCCCCTAAGGGTAAACATTAGTGAGGCGGATGTAGATTTAGATCCCTGAATCTATTCCAGCACCAATATTTCATATAATTTCACAAGATTCATACATTTAAAAGCTTTATTAATATAAGCCTAGTATTTACACCGGGCAGGTCTATATAGGGTTAGCAAGTAAATGCATTAAATATAACTGTTAAATAAATTATTTACAAAAAAAAAGTTGTAATCTGTGACAAAGGAAAGTTTGAGGTTGTCTCATACAGCTCACAAACTCTGGTTTAAAAATTGATTCAAAAGGCAAGAGATTTAAAAAATATATATTTTTACTGTAAAATGCTGGTAGATTCTCAGTCATTCAGGTTATGATGGTATATTTGAAGCATTTAAATTTTTTAATGGTGTAAAACAAAAACAAAAAACAGACGTGTACACAGCAGTGTATTTGTACATGAAAGCATTTGTATTTGGCGCAGACACACACCAACTCTTCTCCAGTCAAGCGACACACACGCTTACGTAGAAGTATACAAACAGGAGAGTTGGAAAAAGTAAATAAACAGGAATGGATGACTAAAAACACTAGATATGAGTTTAATAGTTGAAAAACCTGCTAAACAAAAGAGTACACAGCAAGCTAAGTAATTAGCCTAATTTATTATGAAATTAGGAGGAACTACTTTTTGTGACGAATGTTAATTTCTTTTTAGGAAGGGCATCGCCCCACCTTCTTTTATGTACCGGTCACACCTGGTTATAAAGTTAATGTTACACCTGCTGCTTGCTGCTGTTGAATAGCTTTTAGCAGTACTAAAATAAGAGCAGCAACATTTTTGAACTTCCTCTTCGTGTAACTGTTATCATGCCATAAGATGGTTTAACCCATGAAATTAAATACGTGGAGCAATACGGCTGTAGGATGACTTTGCTACAATCTACGAGCACTTTTTTCGACCATCTGCTGACATTTGGCATCGTTGTGGATGGTTACATAATATGTGATTTTCCTCACCCTGTTCCTGCAGCAGGCCTGGTCCAGTCGGGGTCAGCAGCTTCTGCTCCCAGCAGCCTGGCAGCCGATGGCTCCTGTGGGCCCTCCTCCCTCTCACCCACATCCACCTCCTCTTTCCTCTTTAACCGGTGACACCACAGCGGGTCCAACGATGCTCAGCGACTGGGGGTGAGTCCCTAAAATCTGACTCGTCCAAACTTTTAGGTCTGGGAAAATTCCCTGTTTGTTAAGCAGGGGTGTAATGTTTTAATATATATATAGTCTTTCTGGCTCATTGTAACTTCCTTAACAGGAAGATGCGCCCTCACAGTGGCCACTATAATGCAATGATGCAACAGCCGTTCCTGACTAATCAGATTCCAGGCCTCTCTGCGCATCAGCCAATCAACATTGGCATAGCTCATGTTGTGTGGCCCCAGCCAGCCAGTAAAAGGAACAGACAAGGACACAACAGGTAGGTTCTGCTCTTACATCACACCTTTAAAGCTGAACTGTTCTGACATATTTATATGTATCTGTTATATAATTTATTCCATATGAAAGGAACCTGTCCCACTGCTCCAACATCCACGTATCAGCATGTCACTCCCCCAGAATGGCTGATGTTGTTGGACAGGCAGTGGCAGGGAGAGAGCATCCTCAGAGGGAGGTGCCCCTGGTGGAATCCCGGCGACAGGAAATTCAGAACACCAACGAGGAAGAAGGCACAGAGCATGAAGAGAGCTGCTTCAAAGAGGTGGTGCCGGACGCCAACAGGCCAGCGGAGCTTTCCAGGCAGCCGCAGCGGGATGTGGCGGTCCTCATGGCAGATTCACCGAGCCCCGCTCCCAGCGTGATCAGCATCCGTAGTGATCTGAGTGATGACGAGGAGGGAAATCCTCGGAGTTGTCATCTGAATCGGTGAGTATAATTAAGATAATACAGAACGTAACAGAACTAAGGTGGTATCTCACTGGTCATTAACGAGTGAGCCTCCAGAATGACTTGTGACCTCAGTCTCTTTGCATGAGTTCCCAGAGGTGCACAGTTTTGTTGCTTGAGCTTTGAACAAGTTAAAGAAATTGTTGTCATGGGCCTCTCTAACCCATCTCAAGAGCTCTGGAGCTGTATTTTGACACCTGCTATGTAGCTTTTTCTCCAAAGAAGACATGTCCAGGTCTAGGGCCATGATGATAACATTTTATTTAAAAATGCTTCAAATTTGCCTATTATTTTAAAAGCAGATTAAATCATAAATGTGAGGATGGCTGCAAGGAGCCAAAGTGGAGAACAAAAATAATGCGTGCATCCAAAAAACCAGTTTTGCATTGGGCACACAAAACTTGTACATCACATACTCATGGCTCACAGGTTGGAAACAGATTTTTAGTAAAACTGCATCAGAAAATTTGCATATTTTTGTGAAATGTTGAGTCTTCAACTATTGAAGAATTTCTGAAGTGTCTTTTTAAATGTCTTCAATATCACAGTCTTAATTATAAGCCTTAAAATGTCTTAAATATGTCCAAAAGTTTAATTTTAGACCCTATAATATATTAGTTATGTCTGAAATTTATATGTTCATTCATATTTTCTTCCATCAACTTTAAATTTTGCTGTCAGCATTCATTCATTCATTCTGTGTGTTGTAGTTCTGTCTGTAACAAAACTACAAGTCCCATCATTGCTCTGCTCCTAAAACAGATTTGCTGTAGTTTTTTTTTTAGTTTATTATTATTTGATTTGAATTTAAATGAAAGACAAAAAAATGTATTAAAAAACTGTCATTTGTGTAGGTTTTAAATTTCAATCATGGTCTCTAATCCAAAATCTAATTGACTTATTAAACTTGCAGAATCCCCGCTCTCCCAACATTTGCAACTCGGTGAGATACCACCGTTAGTTGACTTCTTCTACTGGGATATGTTTCTAATAAACCTGAAACATTTTGCCCACAGATGTAAAGAAGAGTGTGTGTGTGAGGCTTGCAGAAACACCACTGTGTCCATGGAGAGAGTTTGTTCTCTCAGCAGCCCCGACAGCAGCCTCAGCACCAGCTCCTTTGTCTCCAACTCTCTTCAGTCCAGCCCGTCAGTCTCACCATGCAAGAGGCCCAACAGGTTGGCTTCAACCCAAACAATCAAAACCAGTCAAATGGTCTCTTGTTTGACCGTTTGAGTCTTAATGTGCTCCTCCATCTTTTTTTTTCCTTTCTTCTCCTCAGCATGTCGGAGGACGATGGCAATGAGAGTGGTCGTGACACAGTGGAAGGCTCTCCCACGTCTGACACGTCGACTTCCCCGCATGGCAACAGCGCCTACCGTTACCTTAACAATAACAACCGCCCACCTTTGGCTGGTGGCTTGGCACCCCTTACTTCCCCCGCCGAGCAATACCAGAGCCCCTGCGGCATCAGGACGATGGTAGTTCCACCAATGAGAGTGCAGAGCAACAACAACACTCGGGGAACAGAGGAGCGTGTCCAGAGAACAGGTCAGTGAAAATGTTTTTTATTTATTTATACATTTTTCTTGATTAGTTCTTTCTAAAAATAATCCAACTTTTTTTTTTTTTTTACATAAATGTGTCTTTCTTTTACCACCTGTGATGTGGTCTGTCACCTGTGCTTTGGTGGTGTCCGCTTTGCAGGTCATATGGAAGCAGTCGGGGCTTACCGCCCCCTAGTGGCTCATAGGGACATTAACAGGTGATCAAGAGACACTGGCAGAGAGTTTTCCAATCTGTAGCTTTTTACCTCCTATATGCATCCATAGTTGACATTGGCATGTTTTTTAAATAACTTTCCCTCCGTCAAAGTTACAGCAGTTTTTATGGAGAGTTTTTCTATTTAAAGCCTTGAAAAGGTCTCACTTAACTTTTCTTTTGACAAAACCAAACTAAGGTCATATCCTCGACTCAGCCTTTTACTGTAAAGGTTTAAGAGGAGGAGTTAGTTTTAACTTGAATACAGTAAATATATTTTCTAAGTCTTTTAGCCTGCTTGTTGTGGAGGGAAAGGAGGATGCATATTAGTTGGTACTGGGCTGAGACTGGATTTGTTTTCCCCTCTCGGCTAGTTCTCATTGTCCAGCTGCAAAGTTTGCCTGAGGACTCTGATGTGAGATCAGTTTTACCTGTTCTGTTTTTCCAAGATGTGTTTTTTAATAACATGATGGTTGAAAACCGATACAGATCAGAGTCCTAGGATCAGCAGTTTTTTATGCCCCTTCTGAGTGCCCACAATCTTTTTTTCTTTTCAAAGTTTTCAGCTTTCTTTACACTTTTGGAAATAAGAAATATTGTATTGATTTAAAAAGAAACAGGCAGTTTCACTTAGTTAATATTTTTCTTTTCTTTTTTTAACACTTTTATCCACTGTGGGCTGTCATGCAGCTAAAAATGTCAATCCTTGACGCTGTCAGATATTTCAAGTTTTTTTTTTTTTTTCTTGGAGTGTAAATTTTAATTCACAATTGAATTTTATTTACATTTTTATGTTAAACATAAGCTTTTACTGTGGTGTGCATTTCTTCTTTGAAGTATTTTCGTTGCCTCTTCACTTTCTTTAGCTTTGCAGAAGCTCCTTCTTTCTTTTTTCTATCTGATATTTGCTCTGTCCCAACCAATTCCTGTCTTCTGTCTTCTACAGTCTCAGAATCCTGGTCCCGGTCCAAAGGGCGCTGCAGCCTCGTAGGACAGCAGAGCTCTGCCTCCTCCATCCCCCTCTTCCCATCCGCCCCCATCCTGTCCCGGCAGCAGAAGGTGACAGGGCAGCAGCAGCACCCTTTGAGTTTTGGTCAGGTGAGTTCACAGTTCTGTTTTTTCCTCTACTTCAGGTCATGTTCTACAAGAACTGAGTCCTTGTGGTTAGTCATGGTGAAAGTGAGTAAAAATTACATCTGGGCCTCACCAGGAAGCCCAACCTAGAAGTAGGAGTCTTTAGGCACCTCACAATTTGAGTTGGCTACAATTCAGAGGACTGTGATGCAATTAGAAAACATCTATCAATGCATCTTGATTACCTTTGATTATCAGGTTTGTGAATAAACATGTCAGACAGGAAGCTGGTAAGGTTATGATGTTTATTCAGAACACTGTGAAATTGAAATTCACCCATCCATCCATTTATTTATTTGAAGGGTCACTGGTGCCCATAAACTGAAATACAGAAACAGAAATTCAATTTTCCAAACTGAAGTCACTGGTTTATTAAGCATAAATGAACACTGTATTTTCTTGCTTAATAAAGGTGCCCCCCCCCCCCCCCAAAAAAAAAAAAATCCTATTAATTTTAGGCTGCTGACAAAATTAGCACTGACGCTAACTTAACATTGAAAACTCCATAGCAAAGTTAGCACAGATGCTAACTTACCATTGAAAACACTGTAGTAAAGCAAAGTTACAGTTAGGCTACTAACTTCAAGGTTATAAAACAATTATTAATACATTTCAATTATCATAAACACAATTGATGTTTATAATTTAAAGGGTGCTCAAAAACACATAAAAAGCCCTTATTGATTACAGGCTGCCAAAATAACATACCAGTAGATGCTAAATCACTGGTAATTTGTGCACAAAACACATTTTAAAGTCATGTTACGATAACTTCAACGCTTGCTGACATATGCTTCAGGTCGCAGCCAAGAAAATCTGAAAATGCACTTGTACATATTTTTGCTACAGGAAGCTACGACAACTTGACTGCGACAAACAACATGGCAACTATTCTGATGACTTTTAAAGTGGAAACACCTATCGGTATTAAAAAATTAAGCTTTTGACATTTGAAAAGCTATTCAATATCATCTATATATGTAATGTGATGACTCAAAAATATATTATAACCCCCACCAAAGACTGTAGACCTCAGACTGGAGCCCAGAAGTTGGAAGTAGGACCAGGACCAGCTTCCCTGTAGGCTGGTACCTCACATTGTTAAGGGCGAGAGAGTAGGCGGAGCTTAAAGTCCCACATCCTGAGTCTGCAGACTTCTAAAATTACATCATGGCATCCACCATAAAACGGGTTCTGCTGGTTTCAGTTCCACAGCCAGTGAAGGCAGTTGGTCTAGTGTAGCAGTTTTTATTTTTTTGTTTGTAAACATGCTGTCATTGTTTGTTTTTATCCGTCAGGTGCAGCCGTACGGTTCAAACCTCAGCAACAAAGAGTGGAACGGCAACTATGGGCCTCTCCGGCCACACGCCTTCATCCCGCCTACTGTCCACACGCACACCTTCGCCCACCTGCATCACAGCAGCCCCACGCACAATTCAGCCGCCCCCCATGCACACACCCTGCTGTCCTACCCCTCCAGCGGGCCCCTTACCACCGCCCACCATCCCATCCTGCCTTCTCGCCCTCCTCCTCCCCCTCTCCTCCAGCACGGCTTTGGACTCTCCCATCCTCAAGGTGGCGCTTTAGTTCACCAGGTGACTCTGGGCATCGGCACCCACCCCCACCACCCCGGACACCCCGCTGCTCCGCACAGGCTCCTCCCCTCCCCAACCATCAACCCCCACCTTCAGCCTGGCTACGTCCACCACCCGCACCAGTTCAAGCCTCCCTTTCCTCCTCACCCGTACATGGCCTCCCCAGCCACCTTCACAGGCTTCCCCCTGAGCCCCACCAAACTCAACCACCAGTTTTCTTACATCTGAGGAGCCGGGCGGAGACGCAGCAGCACCTCCTGCACCGCAGGCTGAAGGGGAAATGGACCGGGGCCGCGACCTGGACAGGAAGACCCACCAGCAGAGCACATAACAAACTCCTGTGAGGATGAAGAGACGATGCGGAGGATGAAAAAGATATTAATCATTATAGATGGTTTAAGAAAAACAGATTTTATGGACTTGTTTTGAGGTCAGAAGTCTCGGCATCTGTAATCTGACGGGTTTATGTCTCGAGTGGTTGATCATGTTTGTAACTTCAGCTGTGAACGACTTCCTGTAAATCTCGTCAGCCAGTGGAGGAAACGGCGAAGCTTCAGGTGAACGGGTTCATTTTGACAATAAGGACATTCTCATTATGAACGTGTGCTTTGCAGATTACCTCCTGTCATCAGTTGTAAAGTTCTAAATCTAGGCTGGAAACGTCGTCGCTGCTGTCGGCTCGTTCCCTTTATCTCGGCTGCCTTGTAGCACATGCACGCCGCTCAGATCTGTTCGTTAAGCCATCGCAGCAGTTTAAACCCGAATCGAACGCTCCTGTTTTTATGACAATATTTTTTTTTCTTCTTCTAGTGCCTTAAAACCAGAGTCTATGATGTCACTTCAGGAGCAGTCAGATTGTACATTTGAATGGGCTTTTTGCAGCACTTAACCTTCAGGCTCCGAGGACGTCGGGTTTCTTAACGAGGATAACGTGTGTGGGTTTATTTCACTGTTGACAAATGTTGGACTTGAGTCTGCTTTCTAACTCAGAGTTTGGGTTTATTCTAGCTATATAGGCTGCACATACAGGGCTTTTGACTGAATTAGCTTTTTATGTACATAAAGAGTGATTTGATATTTTGATAATCAATTTCTATTCACTATAGTACTTAATTCATAACAGTATTGTCACTGTTTACTGTAACTGCAATACAATCTAGATACTCTGGGTTGCTGTGTTTATATTATCTGGCATTTGAGGTAGATTATTGTGTTTTAGATTTTCGGGAGTGGCTTAGTCTAAAAAGAATTATGTTTTTACTTTAAAAGGCTTCTCAGTGTTTAAAGTAATCTATCAACTTAACAGTATCATTGCTGGGCTTTTGAGTATTAGTTATTGTGAGACGAAGCTTTTGTCCTCGTTTTGTCAGTTTTGAGACATTCCTTCAGGGTGGAAGCATAGCCTTGTATTCTTGTGTTGTTCTGTGTATTTTATTAATATATATATATATTTTTTTTATTTCCGGCGTGTCGTGGAGTTGTTTCTTTACCCGTCATATCCGCTGGCGTTTCACTCCCAATCAGCACCAAAGACTTTGTTGTTAATCATTTCTGAAGCACGGTCGATGATATTTCTTTCACCTCGGGCGTTTTGTCGCAGCCGTCAATAATGGAATATGTTGTGAGATCTCTATTTTGAAAACTGAGGTTTTTAATTGTTTTTAGCTTTTTTTTTTTTTTTTTTGTTCGTTTGGTAAAATTGTATTTGGAATGTATAGATAAAAAGCTGCTATGTACTGATTATCTGCCACTTCGTAGCTGTGAATTTAGAGGATTAATCTCTTTCTCGCCTGCGCTCTCTCCTTTGTATTGTAGTTTTGACAACTAGATGCAACACGAGTGGATTTTATTTTGATCATAGATTATATTGGACGCTACTCCTTTATGCTAGTGCCTCTGTAGATTGGCTTTGTTGTTTTGAAGTGATTGTAAACTGCTGTATTGGAAGTTATGTTTTCCTTTTTTTTTTTTTTTTTAAGTTTTGTTGCTTTTTGGTGTGCGTGTGCGTTTTGTGTGTATTTAGCATCAGTATTTCAAACGTAGGCTGGGTTCACTCTTTGTTTCTGTAACCAGTGTGATGTATTATCGTTTTTTTTTGTGTGTGTTTGTTTGTTTTTTTTGGATCACGTGGCTTTTTGTTTCCGTTAGACGACTGTATTTGCAACTCTTCGTACTGTATAACTAGTGCCTTTCTTCAACCGGTGGCTGACAGAAGACGCCTCGATATCAAAGGCGGAAATTTGTAGTTTCTGTGGGGTGGGGGAGGGGTCCGGTCCCGTTTTTACATTACGAAACCCCAAAGTTGGTTGGACTGAGACGAGGTCTGAAAACCATCTTGTTTTATTTTTACAGAATCCTAAGAGAAAAAAAAACGTGTCAGGGAGTGTTTTATTCACCAAGAACACCGTGCAGTGCTGCAAAACAAAACACCTGAATTGTTTCTCACTAATGCAAAGCTTTATTCTCATACCGTGAATGTATTTGTGGTTGTCGGCGTTTAGTTTGCAGACGAAATATTAGTTGCATTTCTTTTTGGCTGCGCAGCATTTTCTCTCATTTTCTGATTGGGATGTTGATCGTTGTTGTGTGCAGCTTTTTACCATTGGTAGACGTTAAGTGTTTTCAGCCAGGGTTCCTTTAAAAAAAAAAAAAACGCTTTATCCATCACTCACATTTAGTTCCAAAGTTGTCCCATCCTGATCTAATGGTGGCATTACTACGTTATAATGGTTTTGTTGTGTTAAGTAGTGGGTGTATTTTCTGTGCTTGTCTAATACGCTACTGTTTTGTTGATATATTTTTAAGTGGATGCACTGTTTAATCTTAGAGTGCAGCCTAAGATTTGTGTCACGGCGCCGTGTTGTGTACACCAAATGTTGTGTTTTTTTTCCAAACTGCGCCGCCTCGTGTCTGTCCCTTATATGAGCTCAGTGCAGGTGACGCCCCACGCTGTAATCCCGCCACCGCTTTGGGTCGGTTGCTTCCAAAAGATAATCGCACATCCCTGCAGTTTTGCGCTGCATCAGCAGAGACGACCGAGGGGGGTCACACAGTCTCAGATCCAAAGCACAAGAAAGACCGGTAGCCTCTCGGTGGCATCTCACTGGGCTGGAACTAGCTGTCGAATGGTATTGAGCCAACAAACAAAGAGCTTAATGGAGGGAGATTAACCTGCGTGTGGTTTTAGTTTCAAACCGAGAGCTCCAGTTTTGAATTTAAAAGCTCCCCGAATGGGAAGTAAAGCGTCCTACTCCAGAAAACTACCGCCTACCACAGTCCAGTTTGTTTGTTTTTTAAATTTTGATTAGGCTTTCGTAACAGAATGTGTCAAGATGTTTAAACTGGTCCAAATCGGCTTCTCGTAATTTCCAAACTGTATGTTCTGGTGGGTGATATGTCGGGTATATCCAAAATAGCATGCAAGAAAAAAAAACCCGGCTATAATGCAACTGAATTTTATGCTGTTTTAGTGTCTGCATATAATTCAATAGACATTCTGCTTTTCCCAGACGCTTCTAATGCGTCACCGCGCTCGTCATCATCACATGGTAGAGTGTGTTAACTGAACAGAAGACCGTTTACAGGATACGTTATTTGTTTTACACGCTTTAGTTTTTTTGTTTGTTAACTTTTGTTCTGGAGTTGGACTGATGGTTAAAAAAAAAAACAAGTCAGCTGTAAGGTTCGTTTTTTTTTATCCCAGTGAGGGGTCAGAAGACAGTGAGTCACGGTTCACTGCTTTAGCTATTGGTGTTGAATTAAACGACGTGCGCAGCCAAGAAAACGGTTCTACACGTGCACACCAAAGTAGGCTCTGATTTTGAGTTGAAACGTAGCTTAGTTGCAAACACATTAATTTTGATGTTCTTCAAATGTTCCTGCAGTCGTGAGCCTTCAGCTCATCTCCCAACAGCCACAGCCCAGCGAGACGCTTCCTTTAATCCGCAAAAACTGCTCCGAGGCTTGAAAAACGGGTTTCTGCGAGTCGAGATTATAACGCAGCACCTCCGAACTGTTAGAATTGGGTTTCGTCTTAAACCCCAACATCTCAAATGTTTCACCGAACGTGTTGCTTTGCTACCAGGCGAACATGAAACCGTGGAGCTTGACCCCTGAAACACGACTAATTTGGCTGTATTGACGCACAGACGTGTTCACAACAATCACAACTGTTACTGGTTTCAGAGCGTGTCGATTTGTGTGGCTTTAGGGTTTTACCCTTTGATTTGTTTCGTTTAATCTTAAAATGCTACTCTAGTGTGACTTGTAGCAACTGCACTGTGCAATATATACAACAATATGAGGACTGGGAAAATGCTAATTGTTTGGATGTTCTGGTGTGTGTCTTACCAGTTTGCAGTCCCCACCCCCCAGTTCTCAGTGAGTTTCAGTGTGACCAAGCCTTATGTACTTTGTCACAAAAAGCGGGTTCCTTCTTGGTGACTCTTATTGGTGAGTGTCAAATTATGAATTTATTGTGTACCATGTTGAAATTCACTTTGAATAAAAGGAAATCTTTTGCTTCATTGACGTTTCTCATCTTTTAAATGTCTCGGCGTGAAGGAGTGTAGCAGCACAAATGATCACTACGCAAGTTTGGGTTTATTTTTAAAGATTTTTTTAATGTCATTTCAGAACCTCGTTAAAGATGTTTAGCTGAGTGAGATCATTTCGTTCTCGAGGGACGAGTGAATAACAAAATGTACACCGTGCTATGGGTTTTTAAAAACAAGGATTTTTCTGATTGTTGTCAAAGAAAGGGGAAAAGCTGCGTCCACATGACACCGTTTTTAAAAACATGCAGATATGGCTTTTATCAAGACATTTTTTTAGACACTACTGTTGCGTGACCACTAGATGGCAGTAATTTTCACACACTGGTCCTTTAAGTCGCATTAATTATTGGAAGTTTTAATTTAATTGAACCTAAACCCACTGGATTAAAGTCTGGTGTGTTCTGGCTCCAAAAACTTGCCTCATTTCTGGTTTTCCCGTCTTAAGTTTGGACTTTTCGTTCCACATCAGCTCCATCTGCAGGACTCTAAGCAGAATTACTGGGTCAGACTCAGAAATGGTGATCTCGGTGCTTAAGTGGGCCGAGGTGGGCCGTTCAGTGCAGACAGAGGCAGACAGATGTTCTGACGTTGCTGCCTCAAAAACTGCTTTTTATACAACCACTTGTTTCAAAGTCTGGGTTAAGATCTGATTATTACAGAAAGCTTTGATTTATGGGGACGATGAGTATCAATTGTAGGTTTGTTTGTACAAAGCCTCCGATTAGTCCTTTCAGAAAATTTGATAACCTTTGAAACTGAAGCAACAAGTAAAAATATACAGTAATACAAAAATAAATCAGTATTTCAGCTGGAAGATAGTTTGTACTTTTTGCAGATGGACAAATGGACATGCCTGCTCGTGGGTGAAGCCTTGATAATAAAGGACGATGGTTATATCTCCTAATGAGACAGAAACAAACGTTGCTGCTTCCCACAGTGAGGACGGACATGTTACTTTGTTCAGCAAAACCTAAACATCTGTTGGTAAATGAGATGTTTATGGGGGGATTGTTTACACAACGAGACAAATTAATATTTAATTCATGAATACAGATGATGATAAAGACCGTTTACTGTGGAGCTCCTTGTTATATTACTAATCTTAAAGCCTCGACACAAACTTGTGTGCAACGCTCGCAGTGCGTTCTTAACTATAAGGCTGCACTGCTGCTCCCTTCATATCTCCTCGTCTGCATAAATCAGCCTGGAGGATCTTCACTTCACTCCCAGGACGGCTTCTCAACCTAAACCTAAAGTGGACGGAGCAGAAGAAAAAGTGATTTTAGTTTGAAGCGCCGTCCGCCTGGAATCAACTTCAGTCTGCTCTAAACATAAAGGAGTTGCTTTTGAAACATATTTAAGGGTATTTTAAAATATTTTGAGAAGCACACATCTGGTTGTGTTTTATCTGCTATGGATAGATATTTTAAAGCTTTTTATGGTTTAGTGTGTGAATTTCAGCTTCCTTCTGCAAATTAAAAAAAATCAGCTAATTTCAGCTGTTTTTTCAGCCGTGTTGTGCTCCTTTCAGCTTTATTCTTCAAACTACAACATTGCTGTGCTTTTTCTAACTTCTTTCTGCTAATGTCAGCTTGTTAGGTTCGTTTCAGCATATTTCTACAAGTTTCAGCACATTTCTGCTATTTCAGCTATTTTGCTGATTTTATGCAGAATTTTATTTTTTTTAGCAAATTCCACATTTTTTGCACTCATTTCAACTTTTTTCAGCTTAATTCAGCAACAATGTAATCTCTCCACTCCTTTCTGGTAATTTAAGCTTCTTTCTGCCTTTTTAGCTACTATTCAGCAGTTTTTTTTATCTGTGTGTGTGTGTGTGTGTGTTTGTGCAAATTGCTGCCTTTTTCAGATAATTTCCACTTTTGTGCTCATTTCTGCTTCTTTAAGCCTAATTGGGTGCAATTATGCTCTTCCTTCTCGTAATTAAAGCTTCTTTCAGCTGTTTCAGCTACTTTTAAGCTATTTCTAGCCAATTTCAGTTTTGTATAAGCTAATTTAATATTTTTTGTGCTCATTTGTGCATTTTGAAAACCAATTACAGCAAATATGTGTTCTTTCTGCTTTCTTCTACTACCTTAGGCTTGTTCTTCCATTTCAGCTAAATTTCATCATGTTTTTAACTAATTTCAGCTGCTTTTCAGCAAGTTCTTCAGCAATAAACATTTACACTGCATTTTCGTAGGAAATTAAGTTTCTCTAGCTTAATTTAAATGTTTGTGATAAAGTAAGTTTTGTAAAACTTTGTGCTTTGCAGCCAATTTAGGCCAGGACATAATTGTAAATGAGATTTTTAATCTCAGTTATTTTCTCCTGGTTGAATAAAGGAAATAAATAATAAAAAGTAGAAAATGTGTCAGTGCAGACATGCATGTTGAAATAACATTCCAACACCTGTGAAAGTGCAGAAACAATTTTACATTATATTTTTCCAATTATTGTAATTAGGTTTGAGTTGAAATGTAGTGACAGTTGTATAAAACTGTTTGCCACATTCAAAGCATTTATTGCCAAAAAGCTATAGTAACAGTTTGCAAAATGTGCAATTAGAAAAGCCAGCCTTGTGATGCAATTCAGTTTTCACATGAAGGTCTGAAAAAAAATCCCAGTAAAATACATGTGTATCTCAAAAATTATGAGATTATGACTTATAGATAATTAAAAATCCAAAATTCAGAGTCTCAAATAATTAGAATATTCGACAGCCAGCTGTTGGTACCTTTGACAGTGTGGAACAATGTCGAGTCCTGCTGAAAAATGAAATCACCATCGCCATAAAGCTCGTCAGCAGAAGGAAGCATGAAGTCTCTAAAATGTCCTGGTAGATGCTGCGTGGACTGTGGACTTCAGAAAACCCAGTGGACCAACACCAGCAGATAAGGACTCAAACATCACAGACTGTGGAAACTTCACTCTGGACTTCAATCAATGTGGATTCTGGGTCTCTCCACTCTTCCTCCAGACTCTGGGACCTTTAATCTGAAAAGAGGACGTTGGACCACTGCGCAACAGTCTAGTTCTTCTCCTCAGCCAGGTAAGACACTGACGTTGTCTCTGGTTCAGGACTAGCTGGACTTGAGGAATGAGACATTTGTAGCTCATGTACAGGAGTGAATCATCTGATCAGGGTGTGACACCAGGAGTTTACAATATTGAACCTCTTCACAATATTCAAATTTCCTAAGACACTGAGTTTTGGTCTATCATTATCTGTAAGCCATAATCATCAAAACTGCAATAAATAAAGGCTTGAAATATTCCACTCTATGTGTCATGAAGCTCTGTATTATATGGCCTTCTCTTTCTCAAGTTGAACTTTTTCACAATACAGTATTCAAATTTTTTTTAGATGCACCTGTAAATTCACATTTTCCCGGCGCCGACAGAACCGGCTGTTGTTCCATCAGTTTCCACGAGGGGGCGCCAACTCCCCGCTGAACTCGGATCAGCCCGCAGAGCGAAGCTGCCGCCATTTACAGCCTGCCGCCACTTCCGGTCTGTTAGGTGAACAAGTGAAACCAAAGACGTACGTTTATGTCTGTGAGCGACACAACGGCTTCATGGAGCCCCATCTTTTATCAAAATGGGTTCAGTTGGAGTGTGGTCTATGCTGCTATTTCACACATTAATTCTAAAACGGACGTTTATAGAGAATACATGTTTAAATTAATAAAAACGGAGCCCCAAAAGTTCAAACTGAAAATGTCAGGTACGTTATTTTGTTTTGGTATTGTTTTATATATTTTAATCGATTTATCTGGTGTTTACGATCTTTTATTGTCTCTTTATGACCAGCACAATTTTAATTTGTTTTGAGTCACTTTTCCTGCCTTGTTTCTGTTATGCTGAATCTGTTTCATTTGCACACACTTTGCATCATATACGATACGTTTGTGTCTCATTTCAGCTATTCACCGTCATTTTATTTTTTATTTTTTAATTGGTTTCCGATCCTGTGCGTCGCTGATTGAAGGCTTTTATTTTGAAGGTGACACCAGCCGTCTTCCGGTTCGGCAGCGTCGCGTGCACGCGTCTTTCAGCGGGGACGGACAGCGTCTTGCGGTCGCTGTAGGACTCCGGACTTCACACGGAGCGGAGAAGGGCAGTGAGACCCGCAAAGGAGGCAGCTTGAAGCCCGGTTCGGAGCCTCGCAGCCTCCGGCAGGCTCATGGAGAGCGGAGCCCCGAGTGTCGGAACCGCCCGGGGCAGCTTCTCGATGATCGGATGCCTTTCACCCCAGCAGCACCCTTAGATGTTTTCCACTCGGGATTAATTGGTTGACCAATGGCTCCCAAACATGCGCTCCGCTCCGGCAGTGGCCCCGGGGCCCCGAACAACAACAACACGGAGCCAGACTCTTGTTTCCTGGCGGCGCGGAGCCGGGATGCGGGGATGGTGGCGGCCGTCTGCTCGCGGAGGACCAGGAGCAGGTGTCGGGTTCTGAATGGGATGCTGGCCCGGGTGTGCGTGGTGCTGGTCCTGATGCTGCAGAGCTCCGTGACCGCTGGCGGTGAGACCCTGATGCCTTTTTACTTTCCAGACTAAAAGAGTGGAGATATGTGTGACATTCTTCAATATTACAAACATAAACCGCATAAATGATCAGCTTAATTAAACTCAGGTTCATGTTTATTGTTCCATATATTAATTACAGTTATTTATTTTTTTTTTGTGTGGAAATCATTTTGCCTGGAGGAGATGCGACAAAAGAACCTTATTTGAACGCGTTTTGTGCTGTTCAGAGGCTTCTTTGTTGTTCCTAACATTTGATGCAGATGTTTGTTAAAATGACAATACTTTATGTTCATATCCTTGTTGTGGTCCCACAGAGGCCCTCACGGAGCTCTCCAGACACGCAGCCGGAGCGGAGCGCACCGCGCGCGCCCGTTCCTTTTTGCGCTTGGAGCCTATAACTTTTTAATAATTAAAGAAGAGCGGAGCCCTGACAGCCTTCAGTAAGATACACTGGCTTGTTTTTTTTTTACGGATGAATCATTTTTATCTTTATACAATCAAAGACGCGCAAAGAAAGAGACAAAAAAAAAAAAAATGGCAGTAAAGACACGATTTACGCATCATTGTACAAGAGCCACAAAACAAAGAAATGTAACAGAACAGCAGGATGTTTGTTTTATGCTGATTGAAGTGTCTTTTCTTATTTTATTTATGTGCACCAAAACACACCAGAACCTAGAACTGGTCCAACAATTATCTGATTCTGTTAAAATGACCAAAGATCTTCATAAAGTGTAATAAAAAAAAAAAAAAAAAATCTAATTAGCGTTTTATGTATTTGAAATCAAACCATTCAAGTTAAACCACATTTAGAAAATAAACTTATTTATCTGCAAATCATTCCAACTAATTTTATTACTGTTAAGAACAAACACCATTGGACATAACGTTCTCAGAGACACTGGAGCCGTCTCATGTTTATAATTCAGGAAGTCTTTCAATGTGAATTTGCAAAGAATAAAACGATTTCATTACAAACACTTCAAAATTTAAATAAACCATTGAGGGAGGCTGCAGAAATCTCTGTAAACAAGGAGAAAAACCAATACTGACTGATTCTGTTCAGTGTGAACGTGAACATTTGGGTTATTATTTCAGCTCAGGGACATGTTTCAGCAAAACTTTTACCCACAAATGAAAAATCAACAACAACAACAACCAGAAGTGTTATTTTTGTTTCTGCCCTGAGGTCACTTAAGACGGAACAAAGTAAAGTGGAAATATGGCCTTTCATTAAATAAATCAAAATGAGATTATTTTGTTGTTTCCTGAAAAAAGAGCATCTCTGCCATCGTCAGAGTGTGCCAGCACTTTCCCGCTCTTAGGAGTGGAACTGACCGGACAAAGAAAACAACAGCCAATAAATTGAAAGAAGACATTTCCTCATCCTCTTTAAACATCTGGCCGCTGTGCTGAGCTTTTCCATAAAACACTAACAAAACCTCAAACAACAACACTGACTCCCACAAATTTGGGATGCTTTATAAAATTACATGAACGTATCAAATGTTGAAACTAAAACTTTGTACAATTTAATAAAAAAAACAAGATTATTTGGATTTTTTTTTTGGCAGCTTCACCACTAAAGTTGAAAAACTCAGTTGTACGATAAGAAACAACTAAAGGAACGTTTTGCAAGTAATTAAGTAAATTGTCTGCAGGTCAGTAAAAGGGCTGGATATAAAAAGAACATCTTAGTGAGGCCTCAGTATAATATTGAGAAGACTTTGACTCTCTTATCATCTACAGTTCATATCATCAAAAGAACTCTCTGGGCTGAAAGTCAATATTGGATGGCCGTGGTCTTCGGGCCCTCAGGGGCCTCTCTGCATTATAAGCAGGTCTGGTTCTGTTCTGGGCTCAGGAACGCTTCCACCGATCATCATCTGTAAACACAGTTTACCCACGGATGCTGCTTAACGCTTTACCAGGCCAAGAAGAAGCCAGACGTGAACACCATCCAGAACCGCTGCCATCTTCTCTGGACCAAAGCTTGTTTGAAATGGGCTGAGGTGAAGTCCAGAACTGTTCTGTGGTCAGATGAATCAAAAAATACAATTCCTTTTAGAAACCACGGACACCATATCCTCCGTACTGAAGCGACTCAAGAGGGAAGACGCCATTCAGCCTATTGTCATTGCAAAGTTCAAAAGCTTGCCTCTCTGATGGTATGGAGGCACATTAGTGTCTCTACCATGGGCAGCATACACCGCCGTAAAGACGCCATCGATGTAGAAAAGTAAATAAAGGTTTTAGAACATGTGCTCCCATCCTGATGGCGTCTTTCAGGGAAGGCCTTGCATATTTCAGCAAGACGATGTCAGATTACAAACTGCATCCATGACGAGCACATGGCTCTGTAGTGGAGGGGGTTGGGTGCTGAACGGGGCTCTGCCTGCAGTCCGATCTTTCACCAGTTCGAACCGTGTTGCTCATTACGCCACATACAATCTAGACCCAGGACTGTTGAACAGCTACAGTAACTTTAACCTTATTTAAGCTTATTAAGATACGATTTGCAGCGTTTGATTTTTTTTTACATGTTCCATTGTGAATAAAATATGGGTTTATGAGATTTGCAAATCATTGCATGCAGATTTAGTTTACATTTCACACAACGTCCCAACTTTTTAGAATTGGGGTTGTATCTTTTATATGTTACGTAACATTTTACAGCCAAAAGAAGATGATTGGGACGCTGGTGTTCAGCTGCTGTGTCATGTACGTGCGCACAGACGGTACGAGTGTGGGTGTTTTCCTAAACAGAGCTGCAGAGATTTTCATTCACAGTCTGAGGCTGAATAAAAACAGCCAATCAGGAGGAGAGCAGCGAACAGGAATAAAGGAGTAACGAAGCTCACTGATTATTCTCGCTGCACTGATGGATGTTTCAGCTCAGTTCTGTCTTCACCAGAGTTAAGGTGGACACAGAACTCAGACACGTAATTACAGCCAAGCTCTGTGTGTAATCAGCGAGCTCTAGCCGTTTCTGTTCCCTATTAGCTGAGATGTATCGGTGTGCGTTTCCATGGGAACAGATCTGCAGCTTGTACTTTTCTCGCTGTGTGTCTGCGTTTGACCGTCAGAGATTTAAATAACATCTAAGTGTTAGAGAGCGCTGCCTAATGATTAGTGTCAGATGACACACGAGTGCACGGCTAAAGCACGCAGAGTGCCGCTGTGCGTTTTAAAGAGAACCTAAACCAGCTGCCCAGCATCCGCTTTGTTGCTTATCTGAGTCACTGAAGGCTTCTGTGCGTGAGTCTTTCTGCACTGTTGAGCTAAACATGGAAACAAGAAAGAGTTTGTTCAAAATTAGAGATAACTAGAGAAATTGCATATCCCGCGAAAATGCAGTGCGAATGCTTATTGCTGAAGAACTTTCTGAAAAACAGCTGAAATTAGCTAAAAAAAAAAATGCTGAAATGGAAGAAGCAGCCTACATTAGCAGATAAAAGCAGAAAGAACACATTTTTGCTGAATTAGCTTTAAATAAGCAGAAATTAGCACAGAAATGATGAAATTAGTAAAAATAGCTGAAAATGGCTGAAAAGGCAGAAAGAAGCTTAAACTACCAGAAGGAAGTAGAAAGAACTAAAATGAGCTAAAAATGTGGAATTAGTTGAAAAGGCTAAATTAGCATAAAATGGCTAAATAGTAGCTGAAATAGCAGTAAAAGCTGAAATTAGCAGAAATAAGCTGAAAGGAGCGTAACAAGCTGAAATTACCATAAAGAAGTTAATTTGGCTGAAAGTAGCAGAAATGACCACGAAAAACTTCAATTTATCTGAAATCAGCTGAAATTAGCTCAAAAATGCAAAAAAGGTAGAAGAAGCTTAAATTAGCGTAAGAAAGCAGAAAGAACACGTTTGCCCGATTAGGCTGAAAGAATAAAAATCAGCAAAAAAAAAAAAAACCCAGCTGAAATGTAGCAAAAAAATTAGAAAGAAGCTTAAATTACCAGACGGAAGTGGAGAGAGCACAATTTTGATGAATTAGGCATAAAAAGTTGAAAAGAGTGCAAAAAATGTGGAATTAGCTGAAAAAGCTAAAATGAGCATAAAATAGCAGAAAAAGCTGAAATTAGCAGAGATAAGCTGAAAGGAGCATAACAACTAAAATGACCATAAAAAAGTTAATTTGGCTGAAAGTAGCAGAAATTACCACGAAAAACTTGAATTTATCTGAAATCAGCTGAAATTAGCTAAAAATGCTTAAAGGCTAGAAGAAACTTAAATTAGCATAAGAAAGCAGAAAGAACACATTTGCCCAATTAGGCTGAAAGAAGCACAAATCAGAAAAAAAAGGGTGGAAATTATCTGAAAAAAAGAAGAAGCTGAAATTAGCAAAAAACAGCTGAAAAGTAGCTAAAAAATCAGAAAGAAACTTAAATTACCAGATGGAAGTGGAGAGAGCACAGTATTGATGAATTATGCAGAAAAAAGTTGAAAAGAGTGTAAAACGTGGAATTAGCTGAAAAAGCTAAAATTAGCATAAAATGGCTAAATAGTAGCTGCAATAGCAGAAAAAGCTGAATCTTGCAGAAATGAGTTGAAAAGGAGCACAACAAGTCAAATTTAGCAGAAACAAGTTAGAAGAAGCACAAAAATGTTGTAGTTAGCAGAACAAATTTGAAAGGAGCACAAAACAACTGAAAAAACAGCTGAAATTAACTTAAAGTAGCTTAAAAATGTTTAAATTTGCACAAGGAAGCTGAAGCAGAACAAAATGTGAAAGGAGCAGTAAAAGGTTATAAACGCATCTAAAGATTTGAAGGATGGAAAATGATTTCAATTCATATCCAAGGAGAAAAAAATGTAGCGGAAAAGGCTAAATATTTCAAAAAGCTAAAGTTGCACAAATACCAAAACTCACAGCAGGATTGTCCTGAGCGAGCGGAAAGTTTTGATACATGATTTGTTAAAATAGCACAGAAATTGTGGAAAGAGAAAGATGCCCACAAACGTACAGAAGAAAAATTGATCACAATAGTGT